TTCGTTTAACTATTATACGTGATGTACGTTTTTTGGGGGGTGGTTAATGAAAGTGTTCCAAAACACAATAGTAATTTCTTGATGACCTAATACAACATGAATCACGAATTTATATCAATCACATGCCCCTTTTTTATACTTGGAAGAATCTTACTCTTACAGTCAATTTATCTTAATATTAGAAATTTTTTTTAGCAAAATGAAAAATATCCCTTATAATGGCACTCTGGAGTACTTCTCCTGTCCAAGACAAACAAATAGTCACCAATAAATTTTGTTCTATATTGTACCATTATGTATTGTACTGTAGAGAGTATGACACAAGGACACCACTGCTTTATGAGTATACAGATTGTCGTATTTTAGCAAATGTTCTCTAATAATGTGCATTGATACCTATTACTTCACATTATACAATTTACTTGGGTACATCTAAATAAATATCCTACACATTAAAATTTCTATTTCTCTTGAGAGTGCATCACAAAAAAGTAGAGTTTGATGTTTAAATTCTGCTATTTTGATATACTATGAATAACATTTTTCCATACAAACCTATTTATAACCAAATTTAAAACAAGCTTTTAGCATTAGAAGAATGCTCAACCATGCTAAATGGATACCCATCAGAATACTGACCATTGAATATTTAAAACTTTAATTGTATGCAGATTTATGCTTTTCTTAGTAAGCAACCTAACTATAGAAGTTTATATGTTGTTTGACCTATAAATGTGCATTTTAGGCAATTTGTTGATTTCTTAATAAGAAAAGATGAGGTTTAATTAATTAATTAACTGCTGTCTTTTTATAATTGATTATTTAATATTCAAAGTCTGAATGTTATCTTAAATGGTCATTATATTATAAGATGAAGGGTACTGTTCTATGTAGATAGTATTTTTGCCTTCAATAGTATTATTGAAATTATAACCAATACCCATGTAACATTTTTTCAATTAAATTGTATTTTTACAGAATAGCATAAATCTAAATTTACTTCATGTAAAAGTCTGAATAAAGCTAAGCAACTATGTTATTGTTCAGAGTAATTAAGTTTATTTTAATAACATTCTTAGTTCCCAAGATCAATTCTGGTGTAGTTTAGGTAAGAGGTTTTTGTGTAATGTTTTAATATGTAGCAATATCTATGAAATATATAATTCAGTTATGTAATAAAATATTTTTATCTGTTTGTTTTCTGTAATATGTAGATCAAAAACTTAAAGTAGCATTCAAATATAAATGGGTTAGAGCAGATTCTAGTGGATGCGAATCTATGAGGTTAATAGTAAACATAAAAAAATTTTGTAACCACTTTATATATCTGAAGTACATGTTTTAGCTTTACTGGTTATATAAAATATTTTATTATACAGGGTGATCCAAAATTACCTTTTCTATTTTAAAATTTAATAACTAAATAATTAAGGAAATACAACCATGCAGTTTCAACATCTTTTAGCCCAACTCAAACAATTTTATTGTCATGTTTTTTGTTGTTGTTTTTTTCACTCCAGTGAGTAGTGTTACCCCAATCTTGCAAGAAATAGCTCAGTGCTTCATTTGGCTTGCAGAGAACAAGTCAGTGATTGTGATGCAGCATAATTACAGATTCCAGTACAACAAATAAGTGTGAGGTACGTTAAGGATATCGTGTATCAAACGCCTACATCAAACATCACAGAGCTAAAGACCAGGATAACGAATGCCAGCACCACTATAACTGTGGGTATGTTGAAGCAAACAAAGACTGAAATCGAATATAAGTTAGATGTGCTGAAAGCTACTAATGGTGCACACATAGAAGTCTGCTGACATGTCAGTAAAAACTGTATAGTTGAGCTACAAGATGTTGAAAACTGCATGGTTGTATTACCTTTTTGTATTTCCTGAATGGGAAATTAATTTGATTAAGGTTTTTTCAGTAAAATCTAAAAAACTCAATTTAAGTATCATACCAATATTTTGTACTTGTAAAGGAAGAGGTCTCCTCAAATGTGTCACAAATTTGTAGGCATCTAAACGAATTTCTATCACACTGTTGAGTAGAGCAAATGCTGGTGCCAAAGGGAAACCTGATACAAATAATGTCAGGAAGCCAAACTGAATAACTAAAGGAAGAAAATAAAACAGATTACAGTATAAATAAATATGTAAAACAAATAACTAAGAAGGTTGAAAATGGTTTAGAAAAAATTATCTCATGAAAAATAGTTATATAAACTATGTATTTTAAAATAAAACATAATTTTGTTCTAATTTGATTGAAGAAAAATTGTGGCCTTATTGTAACTTAAGTTTATTTAGTAAATCCTCTATCTTTTCCTTTTAAAAAATATTCCCTGATTGACAACTATATAGGACAGAAAAGGCAAGCTGTAGTGATTTTTATAGTTTGTTATAAGCTGCCTCAGCATTTTCTTTAAGAGTTTTAGCCTAGGAACTAAAAATTGGTGGATATATAAACCTACCTCACAGAGATCTGTTTTATATTTTGAAGTATAGCTGCAAATGTTTTATTATAGAATCTTTAAAACATAAATTCAAGACACAAGTAGACCAGTTAAATAAAGGTGCAGAAGCAAATTTACAAACAATCTTTTAGAAAATAAAGGTAGTTCAAGAGGAAGACCTCATGATCAGAGAAATTACTAGGTCCTCATGGTTATTCAGTATATTGGTGAACATATGAGCAGAGAATAGAAGACACATAGATCACCCAATATATTGCCACAGGACAGCTGTAACACAACACACAAGAACTGTATTTGTAATTATGTCAAAACAACTAAGGATATTTGTATCATCCACAGTAAAGAAAATATTTTATGGTATTGCAAAGATCTGAATTAGGTTTGAAGGCTCTGAAATTCAGTTAACTGTATGGGTGCCAAAAGCAGTTTTCATGTATTAGGGTTTTGGAATATTTTATCAACCAACTTTTGTTAGAATCCATGGAAATTTCACATATTAATAAAACACCATGTGATACAAGAAGTAAGACTGTCTATACATTTAAATGACATTATTTTTAGAAAGTATTTAAGAAAAAATTAAGTTAATGTGTTTGAAACTTCTAATTTTTATACATTCTGCTTTTAATAGTATGTTAAAAGATTTGCCTAGATAGTTCTTTACAACCTTTTCATACATTGCTTAAATATACGTATTGAACTACTGTACAAGTTGTCTTTCATTCATTCATTTATCCTTTTACTAAGTTACTTTCTATAAATTAAGATATATAATGTTTTTAAGAAAATTAACTTAAGGTTAAAAAATACTTGAAGAGGTTATTTACACGACAAAAATATCTTTATTTGGTCTTACATCTTCCAACATACTTGAGACACATAATGGGGTACCATTTGTCCGTAACTCACCAATTTACATCTATTTGAATATCACACTGTGATAAAACACATACATTATTCTATAGAAAAGCTAAAGATTAGTTATACTTAAGGATATATAAAAAGAAAATAGAAATATCTTAACTTTTATATGAATTTACTTTAAAAAAGCTATAACTTATTTGATTTTATTAACTAATTATAACTATATGTTATGTGTTATAGATGGAAAAGTTGCATTATTAGACATAACTTTTATATAAAAGGTTTAATTGTGTAACATTTCTGTATTACTGCAAAACTAATCAAGAAATTATTATTCAAAGTCTCTATAATGTGTTAAAGATATATAAAACCTTACAATCTTTTTAAATACATACACATACTTACTTCTTCTTACAGATCTACAGAAATTTCAATAAATAGATAAATAATAAAAATTGCTTCTGAGTTTTTAGTATAATATAGTTAAGGATATTTTTGTATTTGTTTTCATTTGTACATTATTTCATTTGATTTGGGTAAACATCTTAACGCATTGTTTCTTCGTAAGGAATATTCTTAAAAATAATTTGTAAAAAAAATCAGGTACGTTGTATTATAAGTGTCATTACCCATTGCTAAATATTCATCAAAAAGTGCCATTGTATCAGCAGGATCCAAGTTATAGTCTTTTTCCCAACGGGTAGTTGCTTGTTGAGGAATATCCCTTCCTCTGGATCTCCTATAGGATCTCCACCAGTATGTGAACTTCCTATTGTTCAAAATAAAAAACTCATTTACTGATTTTGCAGTAATATATTTATTAAATGTTACATAACAGTTTTAAGAGTGGAAGAAAAAAGAAAGAACCAGTACATTAATTATCTTAAGCATTGTGTGACATGTTTTCTGTCCAATTATTTTTCTTTTATTAACCTTCAAATTACTGATTTGTTTCATACCACTCACTACTGGTGGTGTCTACATATTGAGTCATACTGAGTAATTTTTAAGGTTTTGTTTATTACAACACTCAATGTAAAGAACTGTCAATAAAAAAATGGAGATGAGTTAAGTTACTCATTTTATAAGTAAAATACATAGGAGGCTTTTTGTTTATTTGTTTGTTGTTAGCACAAAACTACCCAACAGACAGTCTTCAGAGTTATAGTTGAGCCACTGAGACCAGGGTACATAGAAGGCTACAGCAGTAATTAGTAGGATTAATTACAATATTGGTGTTATTTGTGTTTGCATTTTCTGTGTGACTAATGTTATAATAGGAATCTGGTAATCAACAAAGTCATTGGCTCACAAGCAAATTGGTGCAAAATAGTTTGAAAAATTTATTTGGAAAGCTCATGGGCAATTCTAGAGCTAATAAATATTAAGCAATATATTTGCACTTCTTTGAAAGATGCAAATGTTACATTATAATCTGTTGCTGTAACTGTAATATCTTGAGAGAAAAACCAGACTTGATCTTATATCTGAGGCACTCCTTTTATGTTCATTCTAAACAGCTATTAAGTATATTAACATTAGAAAAATTTTAAGACATATTTTTGGCTACATCACCCTGTGTTAGTATAAGTTTTTTCCTTCCTGCACTGTGATTCAATAACTAAACAATTACAACCATGCAGTTTTCAACATCCTGTCCAAAAATTTAAATCCTTAACTCTGACTCTTACTTTAGACTTTCTCATACTTTTTCATTATTCAAAGTTTTGAAATGTAAATCTATTCACTTCTACACTGGTGAACTTCATTTTCCTTATCTCTCTCTATCAAGTCACACTCATCATAGTCTGGACTGACATCATCAACATGTGATGTAAACATCTACACGTGTTCACCATCAACATGCCTACTGGCTTTTCTCTTCTTTGGTTTTCCCAATCAAAGCTTGACATTCAACAGCATCTTTCTCTTGCACACTCTGAGTACTATGTACTCTCATTCACTGTCTTCTAAGCTACACAGCCTATCGGCTCATTCTATGATTAAAATCCTCAGACAAATTCTCATTTAAGCTTGTATAAATAAACCTCTAATAGGTGAAGAGAAACAAAAGTTTCTGAGAGTCCCAGATTGTCTCTCACCCCCCAAAGATTCCTTTGAGGCCTGGGAAGATCTCAAACCTAAATAACTATCATGATTGGATTGGACAAGTAAAGACAACATTCAATCTGCAGTGAAAGACAGCATAGTGCATTGTGATTATCAAGCTTCAAATAGCTCTGAATTCAAGGTATAAAGACTTTGTATTATCTCTTTTGATTATTAAAAAGCATGTAGGAAGTCCCAATTATCATGAAAAATTACATGAAAATTAAGCAGAATAATGTCTTTTGAGATTCAACAAAAAACTGATAAAAACCAACCGATTTGATTGCCTTAGAAGTATGATATCACAAATTGTGCTGTGTAACATTAAGGCATGTTTCTCTGACTATAAACCCTATCAAATTAAGCTCCTACAATGAAGCATCTGAACTGTTCTGTAGTAAAACTGAAGATCCATTGAAATGATACAAATCATATTATGCTTCAACATTGAGAAATAAGTTTGTTAGGTGCAGAGTTGATCTTGACAAGACTTCAAGCTATTGGATAACAGCTTTAAAGATGTTTTTACATTATTTTTCTTATTCAATTAATACATACTGATTAGTTGATATTGGTATTAAATTAATTGAAAAAAATAGGTTGAATAAATTATCTTCCTGTATCTGACAATACAGATGGCATGTTGCAAGAAAAAAGTAACCAAGAAGATGAAAATAGGTTAATCTTTAGAGTTGTCCAAGTTATAAAATTAGACATGAAAACAGTTGAAGAAGACATGCAATGCATGCTGGTGCCAACACATCAGTGAAAGTAACTTATGAGTAAACCACCATTTTCATTCCAAAAAGCTTGAACAGTTTTCTTGCTTTTCTGTTTTGTGATCCAATTTGTGTTTTTTAACACAATTAGCCAGTTAAATAGATGTAGGTCTGTATAATCAAACTAGTTTTAAGCACAGCTGTTGGTGTGTATACTTCTCACTATGTTTCCTTGCTGTTTTTATCCACCACCAAACTAGAAGTAAAGATATTATTATTGTATTAAACAGACCAGGACTGTGCACCAGCTTCAGTGATCTCCAAAGGATACTGACATCAGTTATTCTTCAAATACATAAAAAAATAGCACATGAAGAGATTTTTTTACCCTCCAACATTTGTCCTGTGATATTTACAGTAAGTCATAGATCTCTCCCCTTCCTGGACATTGCAATTTATTGTCAGGATAGTTACCTCTCAACAACTACTTACAGAAAAACTATTGCATATTGATAAGTAACTACAGGCCACAAGCTGTCAAATGAATTATTATCTCATGTATCTGTAACCAAGCTACTGCATGCAATCAAATATCCCTGGAATCAAAAATCAGACTCATTGTAAACAACTTCCAATCCAACGGATACCCAAAAAAAAGGCATAGTCAAGCAGACTAGACAAACTGAAAGAAGCATCTAGCAAATCACAAATAAGCATCACCCTTCCTGTTTTTACCAAGAATGAATTATAGAGTGCAAAGAATATACAAGAAATTTCAAGCAAAAAATCAGTTTAAGTCAAACTAAACCCTTGGTTACCTTGAAACACAGGTCAAATAGTCTAAAGATAAATCAGCTCACAGCTACAGAAGTAATGTATGAAACTTCTTGCAGTTATAGAGACACATATATAGAAGAAACACAGAAATTTAGTGTAGTGATTTAAAGAACAAGATGTGGTAATATTAATGAAAACCAATACCTCTGCCATTGCAAAACATAAAACAGACTGGGATAAATGATCAGCTACTGAAAGAGAAAACAAATGGAAGAAACAGAAAAAAAAGAAGCTATATGTATTAGAAACCCCAAACTAGCATTGAATTGAGATCAAGGAACAAAAATTAACAATATCTGGATTATAATGATAAATTAAAAAAAATATCATACAATAGGATCCTTGACCAATAAAAATTGCCAGCCAACCATTTAACAGGTATTTTTAACAATAAAATTCAAACACTTTTGTTCTCAGACAACAGTAACAAACTTTACACATTAGCATGCACCACTGACACAAAAAAAAACAAAAAACATGAAGGTGATTCGAAATGTCATCTAACTTAAATTAACTGCCAATTAAATTGTCTGCACGTTGCTCATTTTCTTGCTACACACGTAAGTTTCCTAGTATTGTAAGCCCAAGTTGTATTCGTTTTGGTCCAGACATTAAATCTTTGTACAGTAATATTCCTGCTAAGAAGGATGTCATGAGCATTGTTGGTGTTTATAAAAATATTTCACCAAAATAAAATATTTGGCCTTTCTCTAACTAACATTAAACATCTTTATTTTGTAATAACAAATAATTACTTTCTTTTGGATCCTCTTCTTATATACAAATCTTAGTGTAGCAGATTTGGTCCACCTTTTTTTTTATAATTTTCATGTTCACACTAGAAGAAAAGTGCTCTAGATACAACCACTAAAATTAAAACTAATTTTTATATCCTATATATCAATGATATTTTTGGTATATAGTCAGAAATGATTCTGTCCATCTTTTAGCTATAAGAACCTTAAGAACTGAATGCTTGGGGTTCTGATCACATTCATAAAAAACAACGTAATAACCACACTGAACAACTCTTCAAAAGTGATACATAACTAGCCAATAATAAAATAAGAAGCCTGGCCCGACCCTGGGTATTGCATTTATCTCTTATGAGATAATCAGACAAGTACATTTTACAACACATGGGAATAATGTAGATATCATGTTAACTGAAACATCATGAATTAAATTGAATGACATATTTGTTAAATAATCCCTCACCTTGTTCTGAAAATTACTATAAAGTATGTGACAGTGGATTGACTGGGCAATGTAAAATGAAAAATTCTGTTTACTTACTCAAATGCTCTTTATCCTCTGATTTTTCTATGGGTGAAAATTACAAACCCATAAGGGACAGATGATTAGAACACATCAGAAACTTTAATCACAAAGATATTTCCACACCTATGACACTTCACTTTTTAAATTAATACCTTTCAAAGCACAAATTCTGTCAAGAGCAACATGCTACACTGTGGAAGCCATTAAAATTAAAGACTGTACCCCAAATGTCAATATTCTATCAAACTGGCTTGTTATTTACATAGATCATATACATATATACCTATTAAAATTTCTACATTTTTCTGTACTAAAGGCCCCCCAGTGGTACAGCAGTATGTTTGTGAACTTATGATGCTAGAAACCAGGTTTTGATACCCATGGTGTGCAGAGCACAGATAGCCCATTGTGTAGCTTTGTGCTTAGCTTCAAACAACAGACAAACTGTAATAACTTAAATTTTTATATATTCATAATACCGTTTAACAATAATTTTTACTATATACATGTATATATATATATATTTAATTTTTTTCCTCCTATTTTGCTTTTTCCAGTTTGTTACTTGATAATACTACACTTGACTGTCATAAGCAATTTATTACCTAATGGCACACATGCACAGCCATTGCTCATGCACACTTCTTTTCAAAAAATTCTAAATCTGTTAGTGTTAAATTCTTGAGCATTTGTCTTGAGGTGTAACATCTGATTTAGGCCTAAGGCCAAACACTAGGTATTAAAATTAAAGTTACAGTGTGTTTAGGAGAAAATTGTGTGATAGTTTATAAGAAATACTCAGAAAGATGTATATAACATACTGGTTGTAAATTTTTAAAGAATTGTACATGTGATTATCTATTTTTTCCATAAAACTGTTTGAATGCTTTTCTATTTATATACACTAGTGTTTAAATATAAATTTCAAAATACTTACATTATTACAAAATTATATACATTATTGAAGACCTGTTTCCCAACCATGACAATACTTAGCAGCATGAAAACTTCGAACAAACAGTGTCCACTGTCACACTATAATATAAAACATATGTATCAGTATCCTTGGGAAAAACATAATAGCATTTTGGAAGATGTAGATGCCCAATGAAAAGTACAAAAAAAGTACCTGATCAAATAATCATCAACTAAAGATTTCAATTAATTAAAACTTCATGCTTAGATATATTTAGAGTTCAATACCTTTGTTACCAGCCTTAATGATCCATTAAACAATCAATATTAAGAATAAAAAACTAAATAAAATAGGGTACATATGATTTACACTAGTAAACTTCATGCTTAGATATATTCAGAATTCAATACCTCTGTTATCAGCCTTACATAATAATCCATTAAATAATTAATACTAACAATAAAAAACTGAATAAACTAGGCTACATATGATTTAGACTAGATCATCTTATCTATAAATCTTCACAATCAAAGTAAATCCAGAAATTCATCACAGTGTGCACTAACTACAATTTCTAAAATTTTTAACATACTTTAGTAGCTTTCTTAAATCTCTTTTGTTTCACTTGCCAATAAAACTACTAAATGTTTGTAGTATTTCTTATCCTACAAAGAATGTTATAAGTTCTTGTTGTTTTTTTTTATTTTTCAACTATGATCTGTTTTTTTTTAGAAGTTTTATCTTTAATGTAACACATTTTTTGTAAAATCAACTTTGATCATCTTATCTATAAAACTTCACAGTCAAAGTAAATACATCCACTTTACTATTATCCTATTTGCTGCGGCTGGGACGTATATTTCTCAGTGAACTGAGAAATATACGTCCCAGCTGGTGAAAGGGTTAAGACATATAACAATATATTTAATCACCTTATCTTGTTTATGTCCAAAAATTGTGATGGTATCACCTGGGTGGCCAAAGAACCTTTAAAGAAATTACTGAAATTTATAGTTTTTATTAATTTTACAATAAGTGAAATGTTTAGTAAATATTGATATATTTAATGTCACTTATCAATATTACTAATTATAAATTAATCATAAAAAAGATGTAAATACAGTTCTCTTCAGAGTTTACACTTTTGTAATAATAAGTAACAAGTAACATAAATTAACACAGTAAATAATTTTACATTACTTCTGTGACTTCATTCTACTACGATATTATCGTAAACAATATTATTCTCAAAATGTGTAGTGCTATGTTAAAAGTTAGAAAATAGTTGATAATTTTAAATCTTATGTAATTTTAAGAGCTCCGTATTCTACCATTTTAAATAATTCTGATTTTATAAGGTTGCAAATCTTAGTAAGTTCTCATTGAAAGTAAAGCTAACTATATAGATCAGAACTAAAAAGTAAAACAACTTAATGAAGCCACATCTGTAAAATAAACTGACAACATATTTTTTCTTGTACATAATATCATTAATCAGAACACAAGATAACTAAAACCTATAATGATTATAATATATTGAATCACTAGTTGGGCACCTTCACCATTTATGATATTTTTTGGTTGTTGTACAGAAAATGTTTTCTGCCTCTAATATTATTAGGCTTCTTCTCATTATAGGCTAAATATATTTAGATTATGTTTATTTCAATGAGAAATATACATAATAACCAATAACTTGTTTTGTTTAATGAACTTATGTATTTGGAAGGAATACAGATTTAAATATTAAAATATCATGGTTTTGCTTCTTAAAAAAAAACCAAATATATAGATCAATAGATGTGGTGTTTGATTTTTGATTGCTTAATTTATTCTGAAACACTTTTATTTATAATTTTAAAGAAATTATGTATATTAGTAACAATAAAACCTATGGTAATACATAATATAAATTTCCTGCTGACATGAAAAATATTACTTTTTCCTGTCTCTAATCCCACACAATTATTAATCTAGTTTTACAAGTCAGTAAAATATACAAATTATCAATGGATTACTTGAACTTGTTTTCATTGAATGATTTAAAGCTGTAGTATATCCTATCTGTTAAACAGAAGGAACATGGTAACTCACATTTACTTAAACACAGAATTGAAAACTGCAACGTTTTTACAGACTAAAACACAGAACAGTCACAAAAAACAACAAGTGTCAAACCTATAATTCTTACATTTACAGTAATTAAGAACCCAAACTCTAAAATATTATTGTTCCCATTTTTAGTACCCTTAAAAAATTATACATTTGGCACTTAATTAGTTTATGGCAAAACCTGGAATTACATTCACAGCTCTGAATTTTTACTATGCTAATTACTGTAATTTTAAAATGTTGGATATTACTATACATAAACTCATTATTTATTTTTTATAGCCTAACAGTTGAAACTATTGTATCTGTAATTATGATTTTCACTAATGAAATTTTCTTTACTTAAATACTAACAGGTATGCCATACATTCTTACTAGTTGATTGTGTTTGTATGCAAATGTTATGCATTCAAGTATACTTTCTTCTATTTTGCTGTATAATAACATATGCACAGAAAAATGAAATGCTTCTGTAGGGCTTATACGTGTAACTGATTGCATACTGTTGTATAACTACTTCAATAATTTATGGTAAATAAAAATGTTATATATATCCAAATGTTTTATTATTATTTATTTCTGTAGAATTCTTTACATTTATTAAATTGTCTTATTTTATCATGAATAACAGATATTTATAGATATTAAATTAAATACATAGATGTATTTTAAGCAGCAAATGTTTTCTTGACCGAAAAACTTGAAATAACACAGATAAGTTTGTACATGACAGTCACATTCCTAAGTGAGTAGAAAAAAATGTGAGCATGATCTATCATAAAGATTAAATATGTACTCTATCTTAATAAGCCATTTAATATTAGGGTTAATTTTTTGTTTAGACAAGCTTTTCAAATTGCAAGTTAAAGTTGCTATTTTTTTGCCTGTAGCTATGATGTATTGGCTATATAATTTTTAATGTTTTAGTTAAAAAAACAATGAACAATCAACCACACTTCTTCATGAAAAGCCACAAAATTTTATATATTTTTGCTTTTAGTTCCACATAAAACAAAGAAGCATTGAGATTTTCTAAGTCTTAAGTGAACAAATCCTAAGTTAGAGCAAAAGTATCTAAAATCCAAAGTTTTGAACTGTAACACATTATTTTTAACCAATTTCTATTTTCATATCTAGCTACTATTTCCAGCAGGTTCTCTCAAATTAACATCAATCATGCTTAATCATCATAAGACTACAGATAAAAAAATTTTGAATTTTTTGCTATTTAATTTTTACTAAGCCTGTGCAATTTGGAAATACCAGTTTACAGAATATTTTCCTCAAAGCCTTGGATATGCAATAATATGAAAAACTGTTTATAGAATTATTATTTTATAAGTGGCTCTTTTCATTACTTTTTCAAAAACATTTTGCTAATGGAAGATCTTGGAAAAGCAATTTATTCACCATAAACTGATTTACATGTATTAGCTAAACTTAAGTTTAGAGAGCAAATTATACAAGTGGTTATTTAAACGTCATTTTCCTGTCCCTCAATTGTGATGTTTATCACAGGTTTCACACAAACATCCAGGTTTCTGAAATGTTTCGCCTAGTTACAGTCATAATAAAAACAACAAGCTTCTTCTCTTAATGGTAATGTATACAAAATAGTGTTCATTTTTGTCTGTATTGGAGTTTGAAACAGTAGTTTAACTATTTATAAACTTAGTGGCTATACCTAATATTTATAATGGCTGGAGACGGCTTGAATTGGTAATGAAGAAAACTTTAATATAAGTTTAACATAACAGCAAATGTACAACTTTTCGACAAATTTTTGTCCCTGATGATGGCAAAACTTTGTCGAAACGTTGTACATTTGCTGTTATGTTAAACTTATATTAAAGTTTTCTTCA